GGAGTTGCTTAGCCTGTGGGTCACGGACCTCTTTGTATCTTGGTGGTATCTCTGAGGCCTCACAGCCGGGAGCGTCTTTCTCAACAGTGTTATAGGCTGCAGATCCTCGCACCGACTTGGATTCCTCCTTCTGCTTACCCTTATCCTTGGCCTTGAGATCTAGAGTGACCTCTGCGAATGCAGCCTTCCAGCGCTCAGCTTCCTCCGCCCAGGATTGTGCCATTTTCTCTGCCTCTGCCTTCTGCTCCAATGTATCTCGAAGGTAGTTGCTGATGTTGTTGGCGCGATCAGCCAGGGCGGTACACATAGTCTTAAGGGTATGTTCGTGACGTTCTTGATCAGTCTCCTTCTTGACTTCAGCAGCGCGGCGTTTGTTTCTCTTGTTGTAATCCTTGTCCAACAATTCAAAAGTGACTTTCTGATACCATGGAACATCAATCTTCGTAGTGAGGTCCTCCTCTTCCCCGGGTGCGCGGGTGGCGTACACCGAGGTTGTGAAGTCTTCCTTCGGCCACTCTCCTGGCATCTTCTGCTTTCCTTTATTAGCGAGACAATTAGCCAATGACTGTCCAGATAATCGTGAGCGAAACGCTGTCCACAGATTACTGAGTCTGAAATTAGTATTTTACCTCTCTACAGAGGTTGCGTTGAGTAGTTTAGGGAGCTTAGTATTATGTCACGGCGTAGAATAGGCACAAGTGAAAGTACAGCTTGTATGGCGATAATTCAATCTGTGAAGCAAATACTAAGCTGGAGAAGAATAGAAAAGAACAGGATCTCATTACAAAAAGCCCTGAGGCTATTCCTATTCGGGCGGGTTTCCACTAAATCGCCGCGTCCGTGCTCCTTCCTGCATCAGCCATCAGTCTCACATCCTCCCTCCACGTAATTGTATATCATGGCGGAGCGGAATGCCGTGCCGTGACAAGTGGCGGTGTTCATGGGGTCGGGTGCTATTTGGCCAACGAAATCGTATGATGCATGATGCTTTAGTTGAAAGGTTCTTTTCCAAAAGTCGAAATCTAATGCCTTCTGAGACTGTATCCACAACTGATACCATCTTGCTCGTCTGTTTTATTCCTTCTCGTTTCCATCCCGAAATTTTGCATATAAAATTTATGCGTCGAGATTTTGTTCTTCTCTCGGCTATAAATTTCAATATGGGCGTGAATTTAGAGATCACTTAGTGCCGGAGACTCACTAGACGAGTGGTATGATCAGAGGTCTGAGGATGTACTAAGTCGTCCATGTAATCATGATGCATCTTTGGTGAGAAACCGTCGTTTTGAGAATGCGAGATCGATTCGGTGAGAAGGCTTGACTTATTACCACGTTGCCCGACCTCTACAGTATTGGGAATTCCAACTGGACAATTCTCTGCAAAAATCTTTCCTTCCAGCCTCGTAGACCCAACGAACCATTGTCTACTCCTTGCCGTCCAACCAGAATTTCAACTGAAGAAAAGGGAATAAAATTTATATTGTGTCATTTCTAATGTGAAAGTATATATTCTTGTTTAATGACTAATACAGTTCCTGTGTACAGGTTCATATAGGCGAAAGGCCACAAAATTTAGGGAAAACCCTACAAAAGTAAAACCCATTGTACTGCCACTTTGGTACGCCCTGGCTCCATATCCATGACATCAACCTGCTCTGTCATTATTGAAATATCTATTATTACCATTACCTTCTCCATCGAGGAGGACTGGTCTCAATTTAAGTCCAGAGTTTTAGCGAGTTCTGGTCATTCATGAAAAAACTGATTAGCAAATTTAAATCGCTACATATATTTAAGAGCAATCAGTAGACGAGCTGCGGCTCGCCATGCCCGCGGGCCAAGCAAGTTGTTGTCGAATTCAATAGTGTTGGCGTCCAAAAATATGCGACTCCGGAGCGCTGAGTGATCGAGGCAGTGGAAGAGGATAAGTTTAACTATCTGGAAATCTCCACCACAAGTACAATTTGGTGTAAGGTGAGGGAACTTAACATCGTCAATGTGACGGGAACCCCGAGTTGGTGATGATAATGTCGATTTAATAAACTGTATAAAGAAGAAAGAGAAATCTAGCTACAACTAACGGGTATTTATAATATTCAGCCTCTCAGTGATTGTCTTGACTGATTTCTTCACCCTAGGCCGAATACTTGCCACCCAGCCACATATTATCAAGAATCACTACGCTGTGACACTGATCTGGCCCCTTGGCTGGTAGTGCCGTATCTTCCAGTTTCCTCTATCATTTCCTTACAGTCTTACAACATGAATCTTCAACAATACGCTTAGGTATCCACATAAGCTTAGACAACGGCCAAACCGTAACAGTCAAGCTATGCACTGACACCAATAACTTTGGAACAAAGGAGCATTAGAGCAGAGGATTCATGTTTTTTAAGTCCATGATATAATTTCAATACTGACTGCTTACATGGTATCCTCCATGTTGCCGCTGTACGAGCGCCCTTATTACATGCCCAATACAGGTGCCATTTCTCATCGGCCCAGGTTTTTAGTGCTGCTCTGGAGTTCAAGAAAGAAGGATGACTGCTATGTTGACGTTTTTTTTTTGCATCAGATTTTAATTGCGTATGCAGCTATCTAGCTATGACACAATATCAAAGAAAAGTACAGAAGAGATGATTCAACGTAAGGGAAGAGCACTCATGCCTCGGATTTCATTTGCAAGTACCACTACGAAGTTATGGCGGCTTTTTCTTCACCCCAAGTCAACCCTCATCCGCCAATATCCACCCAGGGAAACGTCTCCAAAACCCTGAGCTATCCAGACATGCTTCCATCATCTTTCAACTTTTCTCCGCGCGAAATATGGTCTGAGGCGTCTCCTTCCCAAGTGAAGTAGCTGCCCAGGCTACTCAAACCATACCAGAGAACACCACCAGGAGGCGGACCGCTACACCTTCCATCATTAGCTTATGTTTATAGTGTCAGTTGCACTCTCGCAACCGAAGTCTTGGCACGCACAAATCTCAAATTGTAAAAACTCCTTGCAAAAATTCAAAATTCCACGCCAGCCGAGGTATTATCCATCCTCTACATCATCTTATCAACTTGTCCTTATCCCTCTCACGTCCATCCCGAGGAACTGCCCCCCAGATTTGTGCGCCCCGCTTTTCTTCTTCCGTCGGGTATAAATATCGGCGTGGGCGTGTGTTTGGCGACCAGCTGAGGCCTGAGAAAGTCGAGAGATGTGATCATTGGAATGAGGATGTACTTGGTCGTACTTGTAGACTTGATGAGGCTTAGGTAGGAATCAAACTGGTTGGAAGCGAAAAAACAACGTAGAGGAGTAATTTGAATCAATGCCTCGTGGGTCAACTTGTTCGATATTGCGAAACTTGACTGAACTTAGCTCTGGGAGAATATTTCACTCCCAGGTTTGTAGAGGACACCGCGTACAGGTGTTCAGTCTTGCCCTCCTAATTTTATCTTATACATGCGGTAGAATTTGTTCGGACTTCTTTATTATTTGTCGACCATGCCTGACATTCCCTTTCAAAAGGTCAATGGTAATTATGCACGGTCGTCACGAAAATATGTAGTATTACACAATTGGTAACAATTTACCTTTCAACATGAGTAGTTGAGTGTTTATTGTCCTAATGAGTTTATAACTATGTAAGGACATGTAGGTCCTTTCTAACTACAGGCCGGGAGAATCTATGCCTCGGGTAGTGTACTCCCTCCTTTACCTCCTTGACAACTTCTTTCCAGCAGTAATACCCCCACGGGTCTTCATTCGAGTACACACTAAGAGGAGCCGTTATCCCGTCATTATCTCCCCTCTCCAGCCAACGAAACGATGGCCATTTGCGGGTGTGTAGCTGCTGGGAAAAGTCTCAAAAACCCACTGGGAGTAGGGCTCTCCTATGACGAAGAGGCCGGCCAGCCGGGCGCAGCAGCAGACCTGTGTATACCTAAGAGCGTCTCTCAACCTTCCTAGCCTCCTCCTTCCTCTTTCCCTGATTTATGCCGCAGGACAAATTGGAGGTCGTGAAACGATGTCAGAAAATTCTTGGTCGAGAGTGACAGTCGTAAAGGAGCCTAGACTAGCATCCAAAAGTCGTTACAGACGTGGGGTCGTCGAGTAACTCATGTATTTCAGATGCCCTCCTGTCTAGTTGATTCGGAAGTTAAGATTAGTAGGGACGATACTGTAGACGAGTCGAAATCTGCTTTTCTTGAGTGCGGAAGGGTCTTTTACTTTGCTTTCGTGGGCTTTTTGTTCGCCCGCCGGTGGGTAGCACATGTTGTGATATAACGAGGGCTTCTCTGACTACAGTTGTAGCTTTTGGTACCGCATTATCTTTCCTCATTCCCAGGATCATTATCATCGTCTTGGTCGTCTTATGTGTTATCGGAAGCGTATCTTTGACGGAGGGGGAGACAACTCAGCTCAAAGTTGATAAGGTGTTACTCAATCTCGGCTCTGCAGACTCTAAAGTGAGAGCTGGAGGCTCGTGGGGGACACCACTGACAGGTGTTGAGAATAGTCCTCCACCTTTCAACATGAAAATTGTGGCCAAGACAGGCTGCAGAGTTTACTCAGCATGTGCGCCGTCACAGTCATTCCAGTTACATAATATTTTCATCTTCCATTTACCCATCTAATCAGGTTATCATTGTAGTTAACACATTGTGACAAAAGCCCGGTGCTGCAATGGAATTCATCTTATCTAGGTCATGGGGCGAGTTGCAATAGAAACGCGCAATTACTGAAACATCCTGGCCAGAATTGCAACTGCTAACGCCCTTAATCTTATCTTAATAAACGCTCGCTAACCAAAGGATCTCCGTGACGTGATCCAATGCGTAATTATTGTATACAAATCGAAATCCGCGGCCCAAAATCAAGCCTTATTTTAGGTTCATTGTAGGGATAAATTACACCCATTACATTTATCAGATTTTGATGGCGAGTAAACTTACTTCCTGGCCTCGGACATATCGACGTTGAACAATACCATCTTACAATGACAAAATCATGGGAATTCATCACATATCTCATACCTGTTGTCCGAATTGAGGTAGACGAATCCAAGGTAGTCGCAGTGTTTATCTTGACCGGAAAAAAACTTGAATACGATATAAGTAGATTGAGGTGTGAATATAGCTAAAAAATCGTTAGCATGGACAACTGATGGAGGAAGTTGTCATGCAGTGCCTATGTTCAATAACCTGGCATGACAACCTTATTCAAATCTCACCAGATAATAAGTGACGTTTTGGATTATGAAAGCGAGCCATCTCGGAATTCTTTGGAAAATTGTATTCCTGGGCAAAAGAATTTTCATCGACAGATATAAGATCATTGTTGGTCTCTAGGTCTTGGTAGCTAAGTAACTTTTGGTTACATACAAGTTTGTAGGCATCTTCAACCTTTTCTTTGCTGTAATATTTGTCGTCACATTGTAGAAGATGATAGGAAAAGTCATCCATATTTTCGGGTGTGAGCGGAGTACTCTTACGTCCAGCAGGCTTTAAGGTATAGGCCTCATGAGTGAAAGCTGGGTATTTAAGGATGATAAGAAGTAGGGGCAGACAGAAATTCATTTGGACCGCACGCCCTGACGTAAACTGAGGTTAAAGCACAAGTAAATGCACCGAGGCTGAATCACCAGAGGGAAATTTTTTGAAGACTGCCGCGGAGATAGACTTCTCATAGGATGTCTATGGCCTGACTCGGTGCCGGATAAGATTAAATATGCATCTGTGTTAACGCAAATTGAAAAGTAAATCCTCCAGCTTTCCCTCGACGAAATTTCTCCCATGCGAGTGAACGACGTGAGGTATCTGGCCAGGAAAATGCTGACTGACTGGTGGCTTTATAACCGCTCTAAACACTTCGCCGACCTCAAACTCAAGATGAAGCGTATGATGTCTGCAGAACCAACACTCCCGAGAGCCGTCTACTCTCACTTGATCGCCGCCCGGACTGGACATTGCGATTACGCGGATTAGCACCGTCGCTTCAATCATGCAAAGGCCGTGTTGTATTTTTTGTCCTTTCTTCGTATGGAACTATGCAGGGCATGCGGGTCGTTCCTTTCTACAGGTAAGGATACGTATCTAATGGTGCATCCCCTCCTATGCCTCCGATACAGCTCCCGTCAAATAGTCCCTTTCCTCACAAGTCCTCATTAAATCGTAAACTTACAGGAGCCCTATGCGACAGCCATACTTCACTGTGAGTGTGGCAGAGAAAACCCAGTTCGTTATCTTGTCTAGCATAGGAAATCACTCGCGACATAGCGGCCGAAAAGCGGAGGGCGCAAGCATTGGTATCTCTGTGCGGATCAAGTGGATCGCAGCTGTTCAGGGAGTATGTTCAGGACAGCGGAATATGCTTAGGGGCTAGTAGGGATACCTGCAAACGGGAGGTCCTAAATAGATAATCCACGTGGTTTAGCACGGAACGAGTGAATGAAATTGAGGCTCAGCCGCGTGGTGGTAGTTGGAGAATGGAGGAAGGGAAGGACGGATGGATGATTGAATGTTTATTCGTGACCGTCACAAGCCCCACACTCAAAGAGCATGACCCGGCGAAGGCTAATCCTTCCCCGACGGCTACACACGACGATATTTAGTTTGACTTTTGGACTACTCATGTAGTGGGTGCATTCGTTGATACAGTGCGGACACGTTACAATCATATAAAGATGTTCGCCTTATGACGATGTCTTCTTTGCGAACGCATCATTTTCCCAAGGTAAGTATAAAAAATCAACGATATTCGATGTATGGATGACGCCGTCGCCATTTCATCGTTATATCGAATAACTGTCACATGATGTAACCACTGTCATCGGCTGAAACCTGGTTATATTTAGCCCTATGACTAGTGATCAAGGCGAAGTTACTGTTTCCTAATTTAACTCCAGATATGTCATGTACTTCCCCACACAGCTCATTAGGCTTGGTAGACGTCTAGACTCACACCATGCAAGTATGTTCTTAAATAGCGACTAAGATTACAGACACAACGACGAGAACATTGAGGTAGAAGAAGAGGATATCATTGCTGCGCATACTATGCCACAGCAGGAGGAGCACGAGGATGAGGAGGGGGACTATTCTCAACACCTATCAGTGGTGTCCCCTACGAACCTCCAGCTCTCACTGTAGAGTCTGCAGAGCCGAGATTGAGTAACAAAGTCCTCACTTCGACGAGGATTCCCAATCGCTTTCGCAGACTGTATCGTCTTCATCTCTCAACACATCCCCCTATAACCATTATCATGAAGCTAACTACGATCAGATCAGATGGTAGGGTCGGAGCCCTACTCATCACCAACCCTTGATCAAGTCGGCCTCGACTGTTACAAAGAAGGGAGATGTAGATGAATATGCGCACCTCATGTGATCCCGGTATCTAGGCCTCGCCTGGCTGGGGCTGCAGGTATTTTGAGACTTTTTCACGCGCACGCAGTTTTCATTGCTAACATTTTTTTTTGGGTAGAAGGTTCCGTGGAAAAGGTGATCGAATTCCACGGGTAAATACTGAGTTGAATGGCTTCTCATCACGGGCAATATATCAATAATCTTTCAAGGAGTAAAAGAGGATAGGAGCGCTGTACATGGTGTAGCCTGGGCCAGAGAGGAGCCCAATGTGCTAGATAGTCATAGACTTATGGAATAAAATAACAATTGTTATACTAATAAATACTTAACAAAAGTACAATACACATATCCAGTCATATATATACCATTGATAGTCCACGAGTGATCCAGCTCTGTAGAGCCAATACTAATATCTTCTACTCGTGTCCTGAACGGAGCGAGTGATCTGTCTTCCCGCCTCCTCTTTAATATCCGAAGGCCACCATCACGTGACCTCGATCTTCCATAACACAACATGTCATGCAGACTTCTTGCCCAACTGGTGACCACTAACAGTCAGGTAAATATGTGACCCATATATTATTTACCCCGCAATCATAATCTATATATTAAGTCTCAACAAGACTTAAGTGGCACAATAAATACACACACAAAATCCCAAGCACATGATCATGTCCTGCCCTAAGTGGTTAATTGGTAGAGGAGAAATCTGTGTGATGGTTAGTAAACCGGGTAATGCCTGTAGTCTACGCTGGCTAGCGCAGACAGTTCTTGGCTCCTGTGAGGTATGATCAGGAATATTCTTGTAGATTCTCAGATATGCTTACCTGGCATATTTTTCTGGTGGAACATTCGAGACTAGAGTAGAGTTGATCGAGCTTCACCTAGAAAGAGTGGGAATCTTCTAGCAATGAAGAAAGATCCTTCCAGGGACGAGACGAGAAGTTACTAGAAGGATCTAAGTCAGTAAGCCGTGATTATTCCTGGGATGAAGGCCGAGGATAGTACGAAAAGGAATGTATAAATACATGTCCGACTTCCTACATAGCTCACCTTTAGTCGAAATATAAACTACTAACTCCTATACAAATGCCCATTGCTTTTATATCTGATCTGTGACAATCTGGAGACAAGCCCGAAATCGATCCTTTGAAGCAATGACCAACAATCCCAGCGGTATGAAAAGAATCACACGATGGAGTCTTAATCATGGTTGGATAGAACATTTCCGCATGACAAATGCAGTTGAAATGCTACTGAGGGAACAAGACGGAACATGTACATGGTTGGGGTCGATGGAAGGGACGTGATTTGTACACATCGAGGCGTTACAGTGTAACTGTGCTACCTGAAGGATAAATTGCAAACTCTAAGAATAAATCAGAAAGCTTGGAGGCTTTTCACCGAGAGGTTTCCTCCTATGTAAATATATAGATATGTTTAAAGCCTCCTGCATGGGCCCATAGGGCGCCAAATCAGAATAATTAATATAAATCAAATCAAATTGTTGATTTTGATTTTGACTTCATTTAGCCTGATTTGGCGCCTTAAGGCCCATGCTGGTGTCTACGAACTCTAATATTTACATAGGGGGAAACATTTATGGTAAAACCCCCTCACCTTTTCAATTTATATACACTTTAATGTTTTGTTACCTTCGCGAAGTGCACTAATACTGTTATGTCCAGTGCAGATACCGTTCACTTCATTGCTACTGGCAGGAGATCATCTTTCCCCTGCTCTCCTCTCTCTCCCTCATCGCGGCCTCGACTTCAAGTGTCAGTCGAAACTGCTCTAGCCTTCCTTCTTGCTGGATCCATCTAGTTATCTTTGCAATATCTTTCGGGTTATTCATCATGGCCTTAAATGATCGGTTCTCTGCTTTTTTCAATGTTTCTCCTCTACCTTTGGCCCACCGAGTGCAGGCCATGATCATGTGCTCCAGATTCTGGGACGGATATCCACATTGGCATCGTGGGTTATCTACTCCTGGAACCTTTCTTCTGTACAGATAGGAATTGTTGAAAGTCGTGCGATAAATCTGTAATTGTATCACGTGTCTCGCTTAGTATTCCACACTTTCCGTAATTGTGAAGTGTGTAGATAATTGTAAGAACAAGAAAACAAGCATCAATAGTTGTAGTAATAATACACACAATTAATTATATATATTTATATTATAAGGAATATGATTTCGAGAGCAAGTATCCACACGCAGCTGAATATATAGCTGGTATATAGTATACTCTTAACTCCACTGTCGCATAAATTACAACAGGAATTGGACCCGATGTGTTCGCCTCTTATCTGCATGACTATGCCGCTCTGGGACCTGCTCAGGTGTTTATGGATACTGGAAGGTGTTCCTCTTTGGCTTATTCCTGTCTTTCCCGTCTTTCCATCCGTAAAGATAGTTGCTGCATTCCAGATTTTAGGATCTGCTCTCGCTTATTGGCTAGTAGGCTGTTTTGCTATCAGTTTCGTCCAGGATCGTTCCCATTCTTCAAAGGCCGCGACCTTTCCAGCCGCTTTCTGTCGTGCCTTCGTCTCTATATTTCCACACGATTGACTTCACTCCACAAAATCCAAGGTTCTCGTGATAGCTCGTGCATCTTGCTTTCCTGCTCGGTGATGCTTAATCTTCCTGCAGGCCAACGATATTGTATCTTGAACAGGAAGGCTTGTCGATAGTCCGGCGTGATGGAACCTCCTTTGTTTCAGGTAAATCTCCATCGGAAATAAATTATTCATTATCCTGATTTGGCGCCTTGATGCCCATGCGGGTTTTTATCGGGAGATATGTACTTAAAGTAGGATGACTCAATTTGACGTTTAGAACACTAACACTCAGATTTCATTTGTAGATACCACTGGAGGTTAACCCTTACGGCGTGTAACCTCTTCTGTGCATACCCACCACAGGAAAAGCGTGAAAAACCTGTGGCTATACGGGTGTGCTTTCATCATCCCACAAGGACAATATTACGGCGAGAGAAAATGGTGTGTGGGTCTTGCTAGATTCGAACCAGCTTTCTCTAGTCTTAAATGGGGTAAGTGTTCAAGCTACTCAGTGTCTACTTGGGAGAACGGCCCGAATGGTGTACCACTGCACCATCCAATCCCATCTTGGCTGACACTTTTCATTCACAACACAATCGCTATTACGACCTTTTGATACATCGAAGACGGAGTATACTTCGATCCTGGTCTACGCTTCCGATATCATGTTAGTGAGACCCGTAGAAAGTCTCTAGCTATCACAAGCTATCTTAGAAGACTCTCGTGCACCACCCGCGGTATAAGCCCTCCCCTTCTTAGGCAAGCTACTCAAGGAACGGCTTTCGCTATCCTCTTCTTGGAGCCGAGACATGGTATTCCAAAAGTACCCCACAGGATATGATAAGGCGTGTTCAGTGTAGAATTAATGATGCTGCTAGAGTCGTCGTTCCCGTCTACCGAACGACCCCGACTCCTGTCCTTCTTCGAGAGACCGGATGAGGGGCGGCTAGCTCATGGCTAGAACGGAAGCACGACTGCCTTAAAGTACGAGTCGCGTCAGCAGACCCACGTCACCCTATCTCCAACAATCTCCAAGGCAAAGCGAGGTATTATCTCACGACACAAAGCCTCTATAGCCCTATGCTGGTCCCAAAGTTTCCCTAGACGGTACCAACAGCTGGGGATTGGTGCCAATATTGAGAGCACCTTCGAACTCAAGAGCCTCAACCGCTACGCTCTTGGTCGCCTTCTTGCAGCTCGCTCAGGTCATGGAGACTTTTCTGACTACCACCGCTGCTTTCACCACTCGGATGCTCTTCTCATCTGCGCTTGCGGGCTAGAAAAGTCTCACGAGCACTTTTTCTTTTGTCGACTCAATCGGGGTCGGTCCCGCCTTTGCAGCGGAAATAAACATCCGGCGACGGGAATCCGCTGGATTCTAGGCTCGCCCGGAGGAGCAATAGCATTTAGTAAATGGCTTCATGACGCCTGATTTTCCATAGAACTACAACGACGGCACAATCTAGGACTCTAGGCCCTCGAACCTTGAGCTACATTCGCTATGGCCCAGATTGAAAGAATATTGGTCTGAGTGATGGATAGCTTTCCTGTTAATATAGATAACTATCTATTTGCTGTAATGCAAAATAAAAGTCTTAGCGGTGGTGTACTTATGACTTCTTCCGATAATTCGGGGTGCATGGCAGGCAGGCCTTGGCCTATTCATAACATGTCGGGCTTATTTAATAGTATCGACACGTCGGGTAGTTTATCTAGACTGAGCTGGCCAACATGAGACCTTACGCTTGTGTTGTGAGCTAGCATGACGTCAAATGATAATAAAAATATAATTAAAAATCACTATCACGACTGACCCCAGGTTGACACTAGAATACTCCTTTGAACGATGAGATAGCAATTGCTCTGTATTTAGACCTGAAGCAAAGCACGATAACTAGAAGAAAAGACATGGAAGAGAAGCGGCCTGCGGCATCGCTGGGCCGGCAAGTCCACCAGCTCGCTTCCGGGACAGATGCTTACTTAACCAGACCCTACATCACATGATATTAGAAACCCATCACTTCCTTTTTAAAATCATTTCAAGTGTATGCAGCTGTCTAGCTATGATACATGACCGGTGCTATGTATACATGTAGGGTGACTCTTTTGGCGTTAGAGACACTCATATTTTGGATTCCATTTGCAAATTCCACTATGGGGTATGTTTGCTTTTACACACAGTCGAGCTCCTCCGTAAGCAGCCACCAAAGGGGAGGTTCAGAACCTTTGGTTATCCAAGCATGCCTTCGTGATCCATGTAAACTTGCACCGCGGGAAATGTGCTTGTGTTTTGCCGGACTCAAACCAGCGATCTACTGTCTCGAGTGGGATGTGTGGTCTAGTTATCCAGACCTCACTGGCGATACCGACCCAGATGATGTACCACTGCACCATCCAGCCGTGGCTGTGTTTATTGTGTCGCCAACACTCTATCGGATATGCTCGTGTTTGCTTCCAGCTTCGATTCGGCTGCCATTCTTCTTGGCTGTCTCAGGCATGCAGCGCCAACTGAGCGATTACACCGGCACCGCTGAAAGTTCAAGAGTACGTCTTTGTCAGCTTTTCCTGCTTATTTCTTCCATGCACCAACTGTATCTGCCACCGTTCCCTGTATGTGACATTGTATTATTGCCTCGGCACAGAGCTATTGCGCCTTCCTTAACCGGCCGAGGCTCTTCGCATCCAAGCCCCTGTCACCATTTCATTTTAGTCAATTCCTAATACGGACGATATCATGTTTTGCTCATCGTAACATATCCTCGTCTTGTGTGTTTGATTTATGTTGCTACCTGATTAAAAAACTATCTAGCACACTGCGCCCCATTCTGAGCCAAGCCGCACCCTATATAGTGCTCAATTCTTCCTTTGCTACGAAAATCATTTCTGACGTAATACCCTTGACGTATAACCGTTTAGTCCAGTTTCTACCCGTAGAACATGTTTTTTATGGAGCCTTCGGCTAAAAAAAAAAAGCAAGAAATAGTTTAAAAACATGTAGCTCCAGCCAGGCAAAACCCAGGTACAGGAGTCACGCGAGTTATGTATATTTATTTATATCTCCCTTCTTTGTAACAGTCGAGGCCAACTTGATCTAATCCACCATGGCCGCTTCGGGTGCTGGCTACGCTGCGGAAACCCATCGAATGGCTTTTCCTCCATGATCAAGGATGGGTGATAAGAAGGACTCTAGCCCTACCATCTGATCTGATCATGATTACTTTCATTATAATGATGCATGGGCAGTCGTGCAGAGAAATGGAGAAGATACAGACCGCGATACTGTCTGGGAATCTTCATCGAAGTGAGGACTTTGTTACTCAATCTCGGCTCTGCAGACTCTGAAGTAAGGGTTGGAGGTTCGTAGGGGACAACACTGACAGGTGTTGGTTCTTCGTCACCCCCAGTAGGAAGTTCTAAGGTTGCATGTAGACATCTCTCTTTCCCACATGTCGCAGCTAATTGCCCGTTTCGATGTGCCCCAACTTGAGGTCTCGGTATGTAATCGGCGGTGGTAACACTTGGTCCTGAGAAAGTACTCCTCCTGGTGTCGGATCCTGCTACATAGAGAAAGTACCGTAGTGGTGAGTTGGATAATATAGACTTGAGGATCAGGTTACAATGTTTAGTCTTTGACTATCCAAATCGTGCTCAAGGACTGAATGGCGCTGGTTCGTTCTGGAGGGGTCAGAGTGAAAATGATTCCCGAAAAGCCAATAACCTTCTCAAATTGGGATGAATAAGATGGAACTTGCTCCGAAGCGTCTTACCCTAGCTAGATAGAGATAATACTCACGTGTCGCCCGTCACCAGGATACTTTTACCTCCTCTGAAGCCATCCAGCGTACCCTGAACCGCCGCTTTCAATACTTGCTCATCTACATCCCAATTCCACTTGATTTCTTGAGAGGGGGCGTCACGGAAAGAGCCATCTCGAACCATGGTTAGGAGGTCATCAACGGTACGCTGTTTTGCCTCGGCATTTTCAGCGGCCCAGCGACTAACCCAGAAGCCGCTAAAGCGCAAATCATCAAAGATAAGCTTCCCGGTCGCGAGCTGAAGCGGCTGTCTAGACATACCGCCATACGTCACGAGGTGTGCACCTTTGCTGAGACACTTCACCATTGCAGCAGTTGGCTTTCCACCCACACAGTTCAGGCCCAGCTTAATGCGCTGTCGACCAGCATCCGTCCACTCCATCACGCGATCACGCAAGCCTCGTCCCATAAGCTCAGCCTCGGTGAGAACGTGAGTCGCACCTAGTTCCAACAACTCACTACGCAAGACTTCAGTAGCCGCTGGATCCGGTCGATCCCGAATCACATTGATTGAGCGGAGTCCCCAAAACTTGCCAAGTTGAATAGCTGCTCTGCCAACACTACTGTTGGCTCCATTCTGAATCCACCAATCGTCCTCGCGCAGCTCTACAAAATCTTTCAGCATGCGATAAGCTGTACAAGGATTCACTGATATCGTGCAAACTTGAGCGGGCGATAGGCCTTGTCGGTCAATCCGCATGGTACTTTCTTCGTCGACGAGCGCGTGAGTGCGCCAGGTACCAAAGCATGGTCGTTTGGTGATAACCCAGTCGCCTTTTGTGAAATTCTTGACGGAAGATCCGACAGTAACAACTTCAAAGCAACCCTCGTTTCCCCCTATCGCACTTGGCCTTGATGTCCCAAGAAGAGAGGTAAATCTAGGCTGGGATGGATAGACACCTTGGATTTGGTTGATATCTGCCGGGTTCACAGGGGCTGCCAACATACGAAGTAGCAGTGATGTGGAAGGAATTGAAGGCGAAATAGAGTGGGTATGTAAACTGTAAGCCCACACGGTCAGCTAAGTCTCCGAGGCGTCTTTCGAGACCCTTGACTGAAAATCTACCTGAGCACATCAATAGGCTCGCCGTGAGCTGAGTAAACAAGCGCCTTGGCTTGCGTGTACCCATACGGTCCGCTCTTGTGTCGGCGGCAAACAAACGGGCTTAATAACGAAGTGCCATCAGGGCGGCGAACTGTGCCACGCCAGAGGTCTTTTCTTGCCATGCTAAAGGACATCATATTTACAGATATTCTTATAGTTGGCCGATGAGGGTGAATCACTTTTCGTTGCTTCTTTGTCGTGTAACAGCTCAAAAAATTCCCACCTCTAAAATAGATTTTTCGATGGTGAAAATCGGGACAGACGTTTAATGGGACAACATAAACTCAAGGCGCACGTTACGGCGTACAGTAGGTGGTTTGTTAATTTAGTTTAGGGTCAAGGATGGGCCTGGTATCTTGTAGTCACGGGATAGGGTCCATCAACTAGCGCCTTGAGTGGGGTGCATTTGGAGTTACGAATTCAGAAAATGTCACATGCAAGTTTGGATGTGAGATTATTTGATCAATTCAAAGAGTGGGAAATCCCCGATTAAACATTTGAGCAAGTTCATGCGTAGCCATTAGTACAGTTGCCCTTATGGTTCTACCACTGCAACAACAGTACTTTCATTCCTCCTAAGACTCCCCTTTCCCTTGTACCCGATAATACCCAGTCAACTTGGTGCGTCGATCCTGCCATTTGAAATTAACTAGCTACCTGAAGATCAGAGTTAAGTTATGACATGTTAATGTGTATGGCTAACAGAAGTCGGGTGGCTTGATTTGAATTCACTCATACCGTTTTTCTCCTGTTGCCTGTGTGAAAAACGGTTCCCTCGAGCCCCTAACTTTATAATTCGACCTTGCCTCCATGATGGCGTTGTGCGAGATAAATCCTTAATTTAATCCCTATTTTATATTTTTGAACATCTCTGCGCCGTCTAGACTATTATCCGAAATGCTCATTGTAAAGTGACTTAGTTTTGGTAGCATAGGTGGAGGTGGTGGCGGAGGCTTTATGGGGAGGGCCTCTGGGACCATCAAATTTGTAGACTTTCTGATTGTAGATCCACTGTTTCCAAATCTTCCAAACCAAGTCAATGTCCTTCTTTTACTATTGGAAAATGTTGTATTTCCGCTCATATAGCTGGTCGAACTATCGGGACGAGTTAAAGAGTCAGATGAGTCGTTAGCATAGTTGGCATTTAAGGACCGGCGTGAGATAAACTTTCGAATGCTACTTGGGTGTTTAGGAGAAGTTACAATGTGTGATGCTTGATAGCTAGAGTCCCCATCAGTGTCTTGATCATGATGGCGGTTAGTTGCCCGATGATCACATCGCAAGATAGCTTTAGATTCAGAACGTTTTGGAGGCTGATCAGACACAGGTGGTGTTTCTTGAACGGGTGAATCAGGTGGTGGTGGAATATCTGTGCCATCGGTGAGAGAGATGTTGACGGGCTTGAGCTTGGGAAGTTCAAAACAAGGCGCCATATCTTTGGAGGACAATGCTTTGCTATTTTTCGACCTTTCAATTATGGATTTAGATGAAGAATGATGCTTTGATGGAGATGCCAAGGTCAGCAGGAGATCTTTTGCAATCTTTCCCAGGTCACGGATTGGATATTGATTTGTTTCGTGGTCGATGTTGTTGGACTTCGGTGACGCAATGCTAGTACCTTTTTCGGGTCGTCCTATCAAGTGCACGAGCAGCTGGCTTGATGAGCGAGGCTGTGAAACGGGAACCTGGAAAAGACTCTGTATCCGAATTTTGAGTTTATCCGGTGCCATATGGGCCAACAGAGTAAGGGGGAAAGTGTCAAAGAGAGAAATCTCGGGGGGGGGGGGGGGGGGGGGGGGAAGAGGGAGCCGTTTTGGGTGAGTAATGCAGACGTAATCGAGGTTGTTGGTGGGGGGGGAGTAGGGTGGGGATAAGACAATAAGAAAGATCGATTGAGGAAAGAAAGTCTCACATAAGTGCCACTATTGCCACAGGATTAATACAAAAGGGTATGAAGTGACTGGGGTCGTGCGGCCAGGACCAGCACTCCGGCGTCGCAGTGGCGAGATCAAAAGAAAGCAATAATTACTACACGGACATGAGCTGCTGGTCGGCACATGATCGAGCATTTTGGTGGTTGAGTCGGAAATTTTCCGGTAGCCAAACGCAGTGGGAGTCACAGTCTACATCTCATTCCCAAAAGAGCTTGTAATCGCTCATCCTGGTCTTAGGCAACAGAGATGGTAAGATACAGATTTTCTCCCTTCGCCTATCAATCTCAATGCACTCTTCCGTCTGCTTATCAGTTGGTTACTGGTAGAGAACGATAAACGAGATGTGTAAAATTCAAGAGCTTGTCCAACACAATTAAATTGGTGGACCACGATAAAGCCTAGGTTGTCGGGTCAATAGGAGGAGTAAGTTTTGGAAACAGAGTGCCTGGAGTACCGGACCATGGACAAAAATAAGAAGGTATAGATATATGCAAAGATTGCAGTGAAGGGTTGTGTTGTTCCTGGGGTGACTGAAGGTGTAATGAGATTGTGAATAGCCCATAGCTATGTCGTTTATCCCCGGACGCCCTGAATAGCTTGGCCAGGTTCATTTAAATTCCATCGACTAGCTGCATACTCTTAATTATTTTTCGTTCTGTCGTAGCTCAGGGGTGCATTGCAGGCAGATATCCGCAAATGAATCACCGTACATGTAGCGCATTGATCATGCTGTAGGTTGCGTCTCTAACCATTCCGCCGGGATACGTTTTCACTGTTCGTCATGACACTCCTTGGCCTATGGTTGCATTCGAAACTCTTCTACGACTTCACGGGCGAAGGGCCAGGATACCTGAACAGAATACAAATTTCCTTGCAGAGAAGGCAGGTTAATTGCACTGGCAGCAAGTAAACAAGGACACTGGAAGCTCAAAGTCATGTCAAACTAGGAAGCCAGAATCAGTTTGTGTGCAAGAAGTGGAAAATATCTCCACGGCACACTTACCTAGATTGCTGATTATTACGAGCGGAAGGCGAGGCTATTCTGGGCCAGGAGCGGCCATGACTTGGATTCATTCATGCAGTCCACATGTGAACTACCGTCTGGCAAAAGAATTAGGCGCGATTCAAGAGTACATCAACATGCATAATTCAGTCCTAAAGATATTCATGGTGGTTTCTCGGTCGTCCAACCAACACTGTAGAGCTGCAAAGTGAGCCGCAGCGCTTGCTCCACTTTATTGTAGATCAGATGGGCGCTAACTAGGTTTGGGATAGATTGACAACCCTTTGCCAATGCCTGCGTCAATGTGTAGGAGAAAGGGTGTACCTTGAAGTACTTGGGAGAAGAGGCATCATCAACTTCTTAGCCCATGGCTTAGTTGCGGATTCAGTCATCGACTCAGTTGATATAATATTGAGGAATTAGAAAGAGTTTCCGACAATGGTGTTAGTCATGGTTCAAGACTCGGTGGAAATCTGGTCGACCTCTGACATGCTCGGCCTTTAAGCGGCTGGATAACCGGTAATAGCCGAGCGACTGTATCCCCAGATCGGGATAATTTCAAAACGTGTGTTAGCTCTTCAAGGGTAACGGCAATAAGAGCACCAATTACCCGGCCAAGGCTGACGGAGCATTAGTGCCCCTTTGCTTTCGTTGGTCGGGGATATTAAAATGTTGGCTGTACAGGTTCAGCTATCCAGTTGCCTAGCCGTGCAAGCTTTTTCGACCATTGAGGCTCGGCATTTGTTACCGAAATGTTGGGCACTGCCGGCAATTGTGCGATGAGTGCATCTAACTGTGGAAGCTTTTAGATGCTACTAAAATTAATCATCAAGGCCGTGATAAACATTGTAGTCGGTCTCATTAGTTACATTACCATCATTTATCGCCATTCGTAGCCAAAGTCTCAGTGGGGACCCCAATAAAATCTAATTCAAATGTCATTATCAGCCCAGGGCTAAATGTATGGGGTACGGATGGTCCCCTCATCCCCAGATGAGTGTAGTGATAGACTTGGATGAACTAGCCCCTTTTATTATCTACCTGGCGAAAGCGAACGCTATTGCCCCATCCTAGGAGGGAAATGGTCAAATTCTTTTCGTTTTTGATGGTATGATGAGTTTACAGCCAGCTGGGAGAGACACATGACCGAAACTGTGAGTACGTGTTCAGCGACCGCTTGGGCTCTATGGATTGACCCAGCTCCTCGCTAGATCCTTTATCTCTGTTCGGAAGTTTACTCTATTCGCTGATTGTTATATCAGAGATATTATTTTCGCAAAAGAAGATGGGAGCATTGTACTAGGCATGGCCTGGCTTGGAGAGGGGCTCAGCATGTTAGATAGTCATAGAGACAAGTGGCACTCTAAACAACACATACCTATACACACCTGGAAACTTGCAATAATGTAAATCCATTGTCGTATCTCAGGGAAATCTTCAGTGTTGTCCGTGTGGCTTGCGAGCTACGGAAACTTTTCTGCATCTATGCCCAAACATCTAACCAAGTTTCCTCATCCATCTAATTCAAAAAAGAGTTCCCGTGTATTCATAATCCCCATCGCCAGCATTGAAGTTTTCTCGCAGGATGGGTCCAACATGCGGTTAACAAAACTTGAAATTAATCGTACATGGACAACACGGAAGATCAAAAGAAAGTGCCCTAACAACTGAAAGCTTACCGATCATTAATTACTGGCACTAAATTGAAGCCAACTAACGATTCATCTTGTTAGTTCTCATGCAACTATTTGTCCCGAAATTTACAAACTTTAGCCTGCATCAACCGATGATTGAGGATATCCACGCCGCAGGACTATTGCTACGTTGTATTGTTGAAGTTGCTGCAGACTTTTAATCTACTGCGAACCTTGACTAAATGCTAGTCAATTCCAGATTGACATCTTGGGATACCGAGCAAATGGCCGAGGGACTATGCTGCTAGCCATACCCAAACGAACAACGGATGGCTGATAACGGGGAGTAGCTCCTGTATCCCACAGCTTCTCACCCACCCAAGCAGAGCTCGGAAGGCTGTTACAACCCATGGGATGCGGAAATTTACACCACCAGATGCAGAAGCCCGTCCGACCAACATCAACCATGCCCAAAGATGCACGGGTGCAGCTTTCTTGGTCAGCACTGAGTAATCTACAGCTAAGAACGGAAACTTTACGTTTGTCAGAGATTTTCTTAGCGCACGTGCGGCTAGAAGATTTCACCAGAACTGATTACCAGTTATTAAATGGAATTTTCAATTGTTTTGGATGCCCATGCATTTATTTCAGAAGACACGGATTTGTGTAAAACGACTAATGGTGATGTTTAGAACACTCACATCTCATTCACAGATATCACTCCAAGTTAACCCTTACGACATGTTATACCCATCTTGCGTGCCCGCTGCAGGGAAACGCATGTAAAACCTACGATGATATGTGTGTGAATACGCCACCCTATATTAGTAGTATTACTGCATGAGAATGTGATGTTATAATTAGACTGGATACGAACCAGAGTTGTCTTGGCACCGAAAGGGTAGGTGATCAAGCTAAACACAGAACCTATTCAGGAGAATGGCCCGAACGGTGTACCACTGCACTATTTAATACCATCCTATTTTTAGCCATATTCTTGGCCTTCATCAGGCTAAGATTGCACAGAACATGCAGTTCCTCTCAGACTACAGGCCAAGAACACCTACACCAGCAGTATAACCTTTCCTATGTCTCCAACACTGCTCAGCTCAAATAGCACCACCTCTTACACGTTCTGATTTGATCAAACACTTGGAGCATCTTTTTGCCCTTTGCTATCCCCGATTCCCAGCATTACGGCATGACCCTCAGCATCTATCAGAATATATGGAACAGATTGAAGAGGTAAGCCACCATTAACTTAAAGCTTGTAAGACAGATCTAGCAGTCTTTTGTAGCCTAAGAAATTATAGGGAGTTCAAGTTCGGTGAGAACCAGTAGCACAGAGCTAGTATGTAGCTACTTTTGTAAATGGAATTCTATTCTTTAAAATAATTAAAATAAATATCAATGTGCTGAATTTAGAAGCCAAAAACCAGAAGAAAAAGCAGACAAAGAAAGTCAAAATATAGGGCTGGAGAGCTCTCATTTTAAAGATAACTGAAGACTCGATCAAAATATGGAAACTAGCTGGAGAAGTGAAGTGTGTGTTTATCGTGCTACTTGAGTCTATAAATATCCAGCACATTGGGCTCCTCTCTGGCCCAGGCTACACCTTGTACAGCGCTCCTATCCTCTTTTACTACTTGAAGGATCATTGATATATTGCCCGTGATGAATAGCCATTCAGCTCAGTATTTACCCGTGGAATTCGGCCACTTTTTCCAGGGAACCTCCTACCCAAAAAAGATAGAAGTGGTAACAATGTAAACTGCGTGCCCGGGAAAAAGTCTCAAAATACCTGCTGCCCCAGCCAGGCGAGGCCTAGAAACCAGGACCGCATGAGGTACGCATATTCATCTATATCTCCCCTCTCTGTAACAGTCGAGGCCGACTCGATCCAATCCACCATCAACGTATCGGGTGCTAGGTAGGCTCCGGAAACTCATCGGATGGCTTTTCCTCCATGATCAAGGGTTGGTGATTAGTAGGGCTTCGACCCTACCATCTGATCTGATCTTGGTTGGTGTAATAATAGAGGTGAATGGGGGTTGTGCTTAGGGATGAAGACGACACAGACTGCGAAAGCGGTTGGGAATCCTCGTCGAAGTGAGGACTTTGTTACTCAATCTCGGCTCTGCAGACTCTACAGTGAGAGCCGGAGGTTCGTAGGGGACACCACTAATAGGTGTTGAGAATAGTCCCCCAAACTACCCGACGCGTTGGTGACTACACAGACCCAACAAAGCAAATGAAAGCCAGGATTTCATCATCCTGCGCTCGAAGATTATAGCATACATGGAGCTCGTCCGTCCAACGAATCTCATACTATGCAGTTGGTACTAAAAGAATAACTTATTTACATCAAATCGTGATATCGTTCGAATAAGACTTGTCGTTGTGCCCTTTCCAAGAAATTCGTGATACGCAACCAGCTATTGAATGCATTAACTCTCTCCGCCGAAGCAAGAGCTCATGATACGCTGAAATTAGAATTCTGTGCTCTGTGGAGCTGAGCCTGGTACTGCCCGAGTTTCCAATAGAAAAAAGTGGTTGGGAGACTTCTCTTCTCCGCATGTGCAGGTAAGAATGGCGTTTTCGTGCTGAAAACGTCGGTGGTAGTCCGCGAAGTTGCCATGACCGGACCGTGCAGTTCGTAAGTATCCTAATGTGCATCGCCCCAGCCAGGTGGGAACAGGACTAAATATAATTAGGCTTCAGCCAATGAGAGTGGTTACATCATGTGACAGTTATTCGATTTAACCATAAAAGGGCGACGGCGACGTCAGCGTATCGAATAACGATAATTTGTTATATTTACTATGAGAACTTAATGCGTGCGAGAAGAAGACATCGTTATAAGGCGAATACAGGAGGGCAAAGCTGAACACCAGCACGCGGTGTCTTCTACAAACCTGGAAATGAAATATTCTCCCAGAGCCAAGTTCAGTCAAGTTTCGCAATATCGAACAAG